TAGAAGGCTAGTACAATTTTCGACGTGATGCAATTAAAAAGCTTCACTTAAAATGTTATCAGCAGTAAAAAGGACGCGTCTGAAGAATGTTAATTACGATATCAGTTACGATTAAATATGAGTATATCAATGGACAACTAGTCAAATTTTCATTTTGTGACTCAGCTAACTGTTAACCGAACTTAAAGCCGAAACAAAAAGAAAATAATTCCCTCATAAAAATCTCTTCTTTGCTCCGAATATTAACAAAAACTGGTTCTGTAGCGAGCGAAGAAGTTTTCCCTTCCTCATAATTAAACACACACACACACACAAAAAAAAAAAGCTCGTTAAATAAAACCTTCGGTGAAACCACTTTTCTTGCTTCTTATATCACCTTACTTATGAGGCAAACAAACATTTAAAATGAAACAATTTAAAGTCACCGGGCCATTCGCATTGTATATTAAAGCGGATTAAATTCCTGAATGAATTTTGACTAGTAAGTTAATTTAATGAGCAAAAATTTTTTCAATCATTTCATAAATGTTTATCCTTAACAAAACTCACACACCTCCATTTATAGCTACAAATTATGAAAATATACTTTTTTTAAAAGAATAATTTGCTTGCTAACCCCCGGATCTGCTGACAACGATCCTTTCAGACTGATCTGAACTGGTTTCTTTCTCCTAATTCTTATTCAAATGTGAACTTGCAACTTGAGAAAAAATATACGGATGAAATCACATAGTTGTCTTAATCACGTGGTAGAGACAGGCGTGCTAACGATACAACTATTAGCGTTGGTTTATTATTACTTTGAATTAATTTTCAGATCAGATTTAATTGGATACCTGCAAGAAACGTCACGCTTGTGTATCGAACCTGATTCAGCAGCCAATTAGGTTCGAAGCACGCATATGATCCGGGCATCCGATTCTTCACTTTTAACTTTATAACTTTAGTAGTTTGTTTTTTAAAATTAAATATAGACTACATCCTTAGCTTTTTATCTCTCACCAGTGCTCAATTTTTTTCAGTTCAATTTATGTGCTTTTTTTTTCACCTATCCATAAGTCCGCTAGGGGTAAAATTACCAATAGAGTGACAAGCACAGCAAAATATTGGCATAGATTTGAGACTCGTTCGTTAGAAAACGCTATTTCATAATTTAATTACTCTAAATACGACGTTCATCCTCTGACGTTGTAACTACAAAAAGAATATACAGTAAAACTTGTGTAAGTTGACCACTTGTGGTGCATTGTTTTAGTGGTCAACTTAGACAAGTGGCCAACTTATAGAGGGGGTGGGTCATTGTTTACTTTTTCGCTGCTATAAATTAAAATTTTTTTTTTACTTGACTTAAAAAATTTATTCAGAAAATATGCAAATGAATATCTTAAGAAATGCGTTTAAACCTGAATGAACTTCAATTTGATACATATAATTCTAATATTTAACTAATTTTTAAAAAAAAATTATTTCGTTAGTTATGCACGTGAAGCGTTTAATAAATATAATTTCTTAAAATATCAGAACACGAGAACATGTAATTTGAAAACTTTAACAAAATAAAATTATTTGAACACTTTAAAATTTATTTACTACCCTTAAAGATCAAAGACCATAAATAAAAGATCAAAGCATATTTCAGAGCATTCATTTATTCAAATGCTCACTATTGTGACTGGAAGAGCAACTTTTCAACTCACATACCTGTTTTCAATGAACGGATGAAAGAAATGGTCAAAAGCTGACCCCTTACAGTTTCCCCTGATGGTCAACTCACAAAAGGGTTTAGATTAGCTTCTTACACTATTTCACCAAACAAGTGAAATTTTAACACACATTGCCAAAATGACAGAAAATTTTCTGAATTTTTTTTTCCTGGTCAACTTATGAGGGTTTTAGAATAGAATTTCATAATACTCATAGACAAAATTGACTTATTTCAGTGGTCAACATACAAGATAGACAAATGGTTAAGTTACAAAGGTTTTGCTTCTTTATATTATATAGGAAAAATTCCGTTCTTGCAGGTGCCCAACTTACAAGGGTGGTCAACTTGGCAGGTTTCACTGTATATGTTTAAATTCCCCTCCTGATAGCTTTCTCTAATGTAAATTACGCAGTGTAACGAAAACATTGACATTCTTGCAGAAAAGAACAGTGCAGAACTCGCACTGTTCTTTTCAGATCACTTTGCACGCGCATTTCACCCATTCTCAAATTATGCTAATAACGTTAAAAAAAATTCAGATTAAAATCATTATTACATGAATGTGTTTATATACCAAACATGGGAATTCAAATTGAAATCTCTTTTTCATTCCTTTATTCTTAAAAGGATAGTCTGGCATCTTTCACACATCACGTGAGCAGAAAGGAAAAGGGAGGTAGAAGGCAAATAATGATTCAGAGAACTCTGGATATTATTTTGCATAAATATTAACATAACTCCAAAACTACTTAGAAATTTAAGGAAAGATGACGTTTTTGTTATATATCTTTAGTTATAAATGCACATTGCTGCAAAAAATTTTAATTTTACTGTGATTATTTTTTTCCTTACTTCGAAAAATCCCAAAAATTGTCAATCTAAACTAATTGTTTCAAAACTAATTCAAAATTTAAACAAATAGTAAAGAGTTACAAAATGCAACTTGACTGTTTAAAAAAGGACAATTCTATTAGTTTTCGATAAGCAGAATTAATTGGCGCTAAGACAGTAATATTTAACTCTGAAACAAATAACTCAAGTAACAAGAATTTTTATCACTATATAAATAATTTGATTTTTTTAAAAAAAAAAAACATTGATTTAATTCAACAATGGTTTAAAAAAAAACTCATTGGTTGGAACCATTTGATTTTTTTTTTTTAAATTACTAAGTCGAAAACATTTTTATAAAAATATTCTTTAGTGTGTTTTTTTTTTTTAAGTGAAATTTTACACAGATAATAAAGGTGATGATAATGAAATAATCCAAAGAAATAATGAAAGGGCAAATTATCATATTTCTAAACAGACTAATAAATAATTAAAATTGAAGACTTTAAGAGGATAAGAGTTAAGGTTATGCTGTTAAATTATGATTTTCCATTAGCTTTAAATGTGAAATAATTTGCTGGAAATAAACATATTTCTATTATACCCATCAGTTTTATGTTTATTTAAATACTTTTTCAATGTATTAAATATGTTGTTAGTGATTATAATATCTTAGAAATTATTCTGCCCAAAAATACTTACAAGTTTTTTTTTTTAGTATATTCATATCTTAACTAATTTACTCTTCAATGGATATATAACTAATTGCCTCCCTGTGTTGAAAATTTTCTTAGGATTCTTTAGTTAGGGCAAAAATAAAAATTTTTTTGATTCAGTGATTAGTTTGTTATAATTAAATAATAATTTTTGAAACATTTTAGATAGAAATATCAACTATTTCAGCAATATTATTGTTTTTAAACAATATTAAGTATTGTTAATATATTTTATCGGATTATTTAGCCGCTAATAACAAAAATTTAAAAAGAAAAAGAAAATATTTTTTAAAATTTAAAAAATCATTATCTTAATAAAAAAAAATCTAATTTAAATTTAATAAATCTTTTTTTTTCTTCAAAAAAAGTATGAATTTTGCCATCTCTGAAAGGTAATAACCAGATAAATACCATTTTAGTAACAGAACGTTCAATAAAAATTTGTCTAGAAATGAGGATAATTTTAAATTGCTTCATTAAATAGTTTTTGAGCTATGAGAGTGACATGCAGGCAGGGAGAAATTTTCTGGAATAGCGATTAACAGTGGCTATTTTTTAATACAGAGAGATTTCCTCCTTAGAAAAACACCTAACTGGTTAATATAAATTTAGAAATCTTGTAGATCTCTTACACAATCACATAAAAGCATCATCAAAACTCTTCCTGATCAATATCAAAATATTTAGGCTTGTAAAGTGAACAATCAGCAATATGTTGGCTACTGAAGTTGTCAGCAAAATGAACAGAACCATATTTAAATGTCCATCCTAAAATTCAAATATCTTAGAGACACCCTTACTGTACCTTAGAGACCCTATATTAATCTGTCCCTATATTGATATACCCTTGCTGTCAAGGGAATTTATCTATATCAAAGGGATTGATCTATACCAGGGGTGGCCAACCTGCATCTTACGAGCCACATTGCGGCTCTTTGAAGGATTATTTGTGGCTCTCGATAAATGTACCAGAGTTCCCTTTTCATTTTTGTGCTATTATATTTTAATATTTTTCTGAATCCGTTTGAAATTAACATAATTCAAGGTGAGTTTTTCATTTCCAATATAATTATGACCCAAAAAGCATCTGAAGAATTAGAATTAATAGAGATGTAAGACGATCAAGCTCTACAATTAAAATATAAGTCGACGTTGATTACTGAATTTTGGAAATTTGTACCAGAATCGAAGTATCCTGAATTAAAAAAGGCTGCTTGTCGAATTACTTCAATATTCGGAACAACTTACTTATGTGAATCATTTTATTTCAGTCTAAAATTCATGAAATCCAAACAGTATTAACTAACCAGCATCTCAAAGAATTATTGAGAAGTGCTCTCACCAATTATTCACTAAATTTTAATGAAATACCAAGAGAAGTAAAATAAATGTGTTTAATTTTTAATATTTAAATTCAATACACATATTGTTATTTTATTTATATGCTTTCAATAAATATAATTTCTGTAAAAAAAATAATAATTAATAAATTTTTTGCATACCTTTTAAATACGTATTTAATTGCGACTTGCAAAAAATTTCAAATTTTGAAAAATAGCTCTACTATCAAGGAGCTTGGCCACCCCTGATCAGAGTTGAAACACAAGGAAATTTTCTTTGATTTCTAATCAACATGTTTAGTACTTTTGCTGAAAAAATTTCGTGAATTCATTCTATTTTCGAAATAGTAAAAAATATGCTCTCTTAAAAACACAATAAAACAAGCCATTTTAAATGAAGAAAAACAGTTTAAAAATGAAATTTTTATTATGTATATGTTACACTGTTGCAACAAAACAAAGGAACTCTGAGATTAACTTATATTTTATATTACTATATATAAAAAGAAATTTTAAAATAAAAGTAACACACGAAGTCTTATCAGTTCCACTAATGATATGTATATTTTGTTTTATAAAAAAATTCACACAGATGGTTTAGTTATTTTCCAATTAAAAAACTTAATTGAAACTAATATTTAAATCAAAAATAGCAAATATCATAGCTTATTCCCTCACAAAAAAATTTGAATTTTGAATTTCAATATTATAATAAAGATTTTAACTAAAAAGTGACATTAGGAAACGACTATATGAAGAAAAAAAACTGATATTTTACATAGATAAGTATAAAATTTATTTCAAAACATTTCTTTATGAGCCACATATGTTAATAAACATTGGGAAAAAATCGGGGGTCATTATTTGTTCAATAGAGAAAAGAAGTAGAGAAATTTATAAACAAATTCTGAAAAATACAAATAAAGATAAATATATTTATAATCAATTTGTTTTGACCAAAACTTTTTAAAGATTATTATTAAAGTATATACCAGATACAGATATTTAATATAACAATCTGTAACTATTTACATATCACATCATGCAGTTTTTACAAATTTCTAAGTTATTGCTGGCCTACAATTATGAATCATATATTCACAAACAAGAAACTGTGGAAGCTTTAAAAGTGTGCTTCTGAATATGGCTTTATTATTCTGAATATGGCTTTAATTTAAATTGTCTACTAGTAAGTTGTACTATTATTATTTGCATTATTGTATTAGTTGCTTATTGTACTATTATTACACTAAAAGTCTTGAGAATTATTTTATAAACAGAACTATCATATTCTAAATTTGTTTAAAAAGTTTCAGTTGAATAAAACAGAATAATTTTCACATTGAAGTTTTTAAAAGTTGTCTACTTGTAAGTTGTACTATTGTTATTTATATTATTGTATTATATGATTATTGTACTATTATTACACTAAAAGCCTTGAGAATTATTTTATAAACAAAACTATGATATTATTAACATCTCATTTCATTATAAACAGGACTATCATATTCTAAGTTTGTTAAAAAAGTTTCAGTTAATTAAAACAGAATAATTTTCACATTGAAGTTTTTAAAAATAATAGCTCTATTTTAGATAACAAGATTACCCGCATTTTCTGCAGTATAAGATAACTTAGTAACAGTTAGATAACTTAGTAAGCTGATAACTTAGTTACGAAGTATTAACAAATGTGAAAAGCAAATTTATGATTATAGAAAAAAAAAATTTAAAAACAGATTGATTTGAAATAATAACATAAAATTAATAAGTTTAAAACAAGAGAGCTAGGAAAATGCAGTAAACCTAGAGAAACAATGTGCTTTAAGTACAGAGAACTTATTTTCCATTTTACAACTAAAAGTTATTAATACAGCAACAGAGTAAAAGAGACAATTGATAGTAGTTGCACTAATATTTGGAATTTCACATCATGGTAACTTTTCACTATGCTACCTTATACATCGGCTTTAAGTTGCCGATCTGAAAGTGAAATTTTTTCACCTGGTTTGAAGGCTGGCATTCCCAAATATGGACAACTGACACAACGAAAGGCATCACCTAAATAACACTGAAAAATAAAATAAAAAAAGAAATACTTAGTATAAAACATCTTCCAATACTATTTCAGGATTTAGTAGCTCAACAAGCATACAATATATACAACAATAAAGAACTATGTATACAGATTCTTCAAAATAATACATTTTGCAATTTTTACTTCTGATTATAAAGCTGTATTCATCAAGGGGTAAAAAAACATTCTTTTGTCATAAGCACTTAATTATAAGTCACAAAACAAACATCCATTTTACCCCTATATTTGCATTATATTATTCCCAAAAAAATGCATTATAATTTATGCTGTCTATAGCATATGAGGAGGAACTACGAAGACACTACAGAGAATCTGTGGTAGTTAGAGTATCACAAATTTAACATAATGCTGACCTACTTTTTAATGTAAATGAATGAAATATTTAAACTTTGTTAATCCTTAAACTTGTTTTAAATTATATATATCATTTTTAAAGGATTTTCTCTTTTTTCCTTTGAAAAATAAATATTTACAAACTTTTCCAGCTACGCATCAGTAACTGCTTTTTCTGAACCTTAGCTGGTAGCTTACGGCATCAAAAAACTAGTTAAACCAATCAAAAGCTTCAAAATGTAAGTTTTAGATTGTGAAACTCCACAAAAATTTAGTCTGATTGCAAGTTTTTGATTTGCAGAATTCCGCAAACAAATGGTCTTGAGATATGCGGAATACCGCAATATTCACACAAAAAATCACATGGCCTGCTCCTAGTTTTTAGACGAGGATGGATGATACCAAAACCCCAGAATTCTGGGTACACCCAGAACACAATCACTACTGGTATAAGTTTAATATTTACTTACATTGCCACAAGCAGATGGAGCAGACTTATTTTTTTCTATTTTAGCAGCTGCTTCAGTTTCTAGCTCTTCAGCTAAACCGCATGAGCAGTTTTTACAAGCTTTCCTCTGTTTTGTAGTGGCACACACTAAATTAAATAAATAACCAAGATTAAACTTAAAAAAACTAAAAATTGGAAAACAAAATGAAACTGAAAATTTATAAAGCATGCTACAGAAGGCATTATTATTTAAAGACAAAAAATATAAAATAATAAAAAAGTATTGTGATTATCACATTTCTAAAGCATAATACATAAATTTCTTATAGTTACTAGAGTTGAATTTCAATTTTAAAGGACATTCACAATAACACTAATAATTTTTAAAAAAATTAAAAAAACATTCATTTAATTAACACAATACTTTTGACAGTTTAATTTTATCCAATATTATGTATTTTTGCAATGGAAGCATTGCTGATGAGACATTTATAAAGATGTGCATCTAGCAATAAACATCTTTAATGTGCTATTTTTACAACAAAACTAAGATTTTTAACAAATTAAAGAGTAGCATGAAATTGCTTTGAATTTAACCATTTGAATGTGAATAGTTAACTATGCTTTTCATCTTTGATTTAGACTCAAATTCGAAACAAAGTGTCAAAAAAATATGGAAACAGTCAAATAAGCCTAGAAATGTACATTAGTTAAAATATCTAAAAATATATGCATGAAATATTTTTATAAAAAGCATAAAATTTCACTAAATTAAAAAAAAAATAATAATAAACAGTTGATACATTAATTATTTTCTTAATTACCTTTATCTTGGGACAATCTTTAAATATTACATTTAAATTAAAATGTTCAGATGCTTAGATATATTTTGTTTTGAAACAACAGACTCTGTTTTTGATGTTGAATGAAGTAAAGGATAAAACAATTTTTTTAAATATTTAATAAGATTTGTATTCAAATAAAACTAATTTGTAATTAAAAATAAATTAAAAACAATAGCTTTTTTGTAAAATTAATTTTTATTATTCTAGCTTAAGCCTTCCTAACCTTCAAATGTGAGGAACCTTTAGAAAAATCTTTATACCCTTATACTCTGTAATAATTTTTTTTTTTTTTTTAAAGGAAAAAAAGAAATAGCTCATAATTTTTTTCTCCAATATTCCAAATTTCATAATAAGGTAATGCATGTTAATTGTAGCACTTAAAGAAAAAAAATTTTATGCAGATATTTGATTAAATCGCATAGATATCACATTGATAGATGAATAAAATGGTTGGATTCAACCAAATTTACAACCAATAAAATTATATAGCTTAAAAAAAACTATTTTGCACTAAAATTACTATTCCTTCTGAAGCAACATCACTATTTTAGGATTCCTTATAGAGAGTAATATCCTCCCACTAAGAAATAACAAGAAATTAATGCATAACCTTGGTTTGTTAACAAAGCCAAATAATATTTACCCTTTAATGATGAGGGATCAGGCTTCTTCAGATCATCTTCATCAAGTAAATCATCTTCATTTATTAATTCAACATTTTCATCGAGAGCATCATCAGATGATAACATCCACACTTTGGCAGCATCATTCTTACTTGAAGCTTTAATATATTAAAATAGAATTAAACTAAAAACATTACGAATAACAACAAATTAAAATCTTTTCTTCTTACTTACAAAATAATAGAACTATAGAAACAATTATATTGCCAAACTTTTAACAACTTGAAGTAGTACTAAAAGTTAAAAAAAACACAAAATGATCGAAAATTTTAACTATCAATTCCTTAAAACTTATAACCGTAAATATTTTCTTTAAATAAAACCTTACTATTAAAATATTTCCCGAAATGCAGTCGCTATTAATATCATAAAAAGCTTTTAAAATTTTTAAATAATTTCAGGAAGGGTAGATAAAATCAAATTTCATGAAACTTCACAGTAAAATTCTATAAATTTTACAGACATTTCCAATATAATCTAGCATGATTTTAATCATAATTTAAAATTTTACTTATGTATGCATTAAAAATTAACAAAAAATTTAATACATATTCATTGCTTCATACATATAAGTTTCTAAACTAAAACTAAATGGGGAAAAAAACTATAGTTTTAGTTTAATAAATCCATTATTAAATGTTCTAAATATATATGAATTGATTTTCTCAAATGAAAATAATAGAAATTCAAAAAAAGATTTAGTAAATTTAAAAAAGAAAAAAAAACTGTTCAATAGGAAGTGGAAATAGCAAAAGAATTACTTAGAACTATCTATTAAAATAATACTGAGGACAAGAAAAATAATTGATACTAACACTGGATAATTTTTTATTAAACATTTGATTGGTTGTAAAAGAGAATTTTAATTCTTAATGATAAACCACACTCAAAGTGAAATCGTATGTCATCTTTAATTATGAATAAATACTCCTGGAATTTCCAGAATTGGCTGTGAATAAATTTTAACTCAAACAAGATTTTTTACATTTATTTTGCAAAATTTTCATTTTTTTTTTACTTAGTTGCATATTTTTACAATGACAATAAAAATTTTCTAAGCTTTCGTTGTATTTGTTTTAGTACTTTACTAGCACAGAAGTTTTAAATATAACTCCTGTAATTTTCGAATCATCTGCTATTAAGTCTTTCACAATAGATCTAGACTTCCTCAAACATTACATTCAGTGTTAACATAACGTTTAGATTACAAGAATAGAAACAATATCATGAATAGATTTAATAAGTATATAAATCTGCATTTATTCCAATAAAAAGAAAATTTAAGAGAAACCTTTTTTTGTAATAGGAACAGAGGATCCAATTTCAAATGATGGTTTTCTTGCTTTAACCTCTATTAATGAAATATCCTTATCACTAGGAAAATGTTTATCATAATCCTCAACATGTATTTTTGTTACAGGTATTGTTTCTGGCTGTAAAAAATACACTGATTAGTTATTAAAGTCTACAAAAATATTAGAAAATGTTACAATTTTCATTTTCTAAAATACAAAGAAAATAACATATTTTCCATGGACTTAAGAAAGAGCAGAAGTAAACATATATAAAAAAAATTTATAATTAAAGAGGTAAAGAAAAGAAAAAGTACGCAAAAATAAAAGTTATTGTAAAAAATTGAGATATGAATCAGTTTTATTTTAAGAAATTGAAAGCATTGCTGTAGAAGATTAATAAACAGGCATTATAAGTGCAATACAACATTTTATATAGAATATACCTCATTTACACATTTCCGTAAGCAATATTTATAAATGAGGAGAAAATAAAAGGTGTGCAGACATAAAACATTTTTTGTAAATATTAAAAGATATTACTTTTTCTTTGATATTATAATTTTTTTAATATATAAAATATTTTGAAAATACAGTGGGTGATCGGTTAACGAACATAATCCGTTCCAGGACTATGTTCGCTATCCGAATTGTTCGTTAACCGATCATCGATTCACCATAGACTTCTATGTGAAATCGATTAATTCGTTCTGGAGACCCTAAAAATTAAATTTTAAAAAATGTATAATTTCTTAGTAAGTTTTTTAAAAAATAATACATACATATAGTCTTGCATATTAATCAGTCCTTTTCATTTTTTGCTTATGCCCCATAAGAAGATTGAAGCCCATAATTGAAGAACATGTCCAATGTCGATTGCTTTTCTCTCTTTTTCAGGATTGATTTTAGTCATAATAATAATTATTGAATGACCTTTAAATTCATTGTTAATTCAAGTTTCATTTAGTAATTATCAATACTAAGCATGCTTTAAACATTTCTCCTTTCAGTGATCTTATTTTGTATGCAAAATGATAACAAATGTTTAATATTAATTTTTTTTCAGGCCGAGAAGTGTTCGTTAGAATTCGTTTTGTTCATTATCCGAATATGTGTTCGTTGTCC